TTGATGCCTTTCTTCTGCCTCTTGCCCTACTTAAATCCCAACTGTCATTTTAGGTACAAATCAAATACATCACCTTCAAGAAGCCTTCCTTACTTGTTTCAAGCACATAAATTCTTTCACTTTTGAATAATCCTTTTTCATATTCGGAAGATTCAACGTCATGTTAAAAGGGTTTACATTTCATAAAATGTGTCCAAAGAAGAACTTGACTAGGGACTGATTATTCATTATTACAGAGGCGTACATTCTCAGTCTCTGGCTAAATTGAAAATAGAATCTATTCTATAAAGGGTAGAGATGGTTAAAATAAGGCACCTGTCAACCATTACTGGGAGTATGAAGAGTGAGCACTGAGTGTTCAGTAAATGTCTCTTTAATGAATTTAAGAACTACATTAAGTTATTTTCTCATTACCATCCAAACTATAGGTTTTTGTTCATAGAAGAATAAAAGGCACTAGATCACGGGGTTTAGGATAAAAAGTGATGGGTTCAAGTTGCTGCTCTCTCTTGCTAACTTTTTTGTGTAAAAAGCAAATTAAATTCTTGGGTCTCATTTATATTAGCTGTCAAAGAAAATATAATCACTATAAGTAAGAAAAGGTAAATAAATTGGAAAGCTATAAATTGCACTAGCAATAAAATTATTATTATAATGTATACTTAAAATATTTAAGTACAAAGTGGGGAAATTTATTGAGGAAAACCAAAATAATTTATTGAAGCAAGTGTTTTACCTAAATATTATCTAAATGAGGAAATCTTTTGGCAAAGCCAGTTTATGAATGGCAAGTTTTCAATTAATTTTTTTTTAGAGAGAGATTTTTGCTATAAGGTGCATGTGCTTGCCAGAGATACAGAAAGAGACAGAGAGACAGAAAGTGAGAAATCACCCCCCACACACCCCAGAGGGGATGGCCATGCCACAGTCTCTTCTCCTTTCTCCTCTCATGATTTTGTGAGTTTTAAGCTGCTGTGTCTGGGACTCGAACTGCAATTGACTACGTGGAAGTCCAGCAACATAACCATTATACCATCTGCTGGTCCCAAGAACAGCAAGTTTTAAAGGAAAATGTAACCTTTTTCATCTCTTCGGAAAGTATATGATAGATTGATAATTTGAATAGCAGACAACTGTGTTGGCCTCTTATAAGGGGAAAATAAAACCTAAAAGAAAAAGATACAGAAAATTTAGGAAATTCTCCAAGAAAAGACGATATTAGCTGATATGCTAAAAACAAGCTGGTTCCAGTCTTATTTGACTCACAGAAAATGAAGCCAACTTTCTTTTGGAGTTATTTAAAAATTATGTTGTAGGAACATAAAACAACAATGAAAATGTAAGTATTATTTACAATATACTAGGCAGTATTTCACATGCTATCAATAATTATTAATTAATTTGAATTCCCAAAGTGTATGTGTGTTCACCAGAGTGATACAGAGGGAACACAGAGAAAAGGGGGAGAGAAGCAGAAAGCACCATCTCTGAAATTCCTTATCTTTTATCTACCCTTTTGTGATTTGGGGCATGCACACATATGCATCTGGCATGCCTTTCAAGCCAGCAGGACTGGATTGGGACCATGGTTGATCATGTGGGATCTGGTTCCCTTAACCACTAGGCTTTGGGGCCAGCCCTATCAAATGTTTTAAATATATTTTTACCCATTTTTCTCACTAAAACTCTATGGGTTAAATATTATTATCCCCGTTTTTCAGATAATAAAATCTTTATGAGTTAAATAACTTAGCTATCATCATACAGTTTATATGTGATAGCAGAACTAAGATTCTAAATGTGAGTTTATCTGATTCATAAAGAATTACATGTAATACTATTATAAGAAAGAGAAATATCTAGAAAAGTTCAAAGGCTGAAGACAGTTTACAGCTGCAGTTTCTCTCTAAACTATGTTATAGAGAAAGCTGGAGGAAAAAGGGTCTCCAAAATACCAAAACTATAAGTGCAGGCCTAGGACCATGGAAGTCCAGGACCCAAGGACTTAGAAGGTTAAAAAATTAGGGACCAGCAGTTGGCATACTGGCTTTGTCACTAGATTCCCATGTAGTGAACTGTGGTTCAAGTCCCAGACCCGGTGGTTTAAACTCATGCTGGGCACGTGTGCATACGTGTCAAAGATCCTGAGAGGAGACTAGAGGAGAAAGGATTGTGGCATGGCCATTCTCCTGGGGGTGATTTCTCGCTTTCTGTCTCTGTGTTTCTCTCTGTCTTTCTGGCGAGCACACACGCCCTATAGCAAAAACCTCTCAAAAAAAAAAAAAACTTTAAAAATTAGATTAAAATAACAGGCTGAGCCAAATATTTTAGTTAAGTAACTATTAAGAGTGGATTTCTTGGGACCAACATTTGGCATAATGACTATGTCATTGGACTCCCATTAGTCAACAGCGGTTTGAGCCCCCGACCCAGTGGCTTAAACTCACCTGGGCACGTGTGCGTGTGTGCCCAAGATCCCAAGAGGAGAATGGAGGAGAAGGGATTGTGGCATGGCCATCCCTCCTAGAGGAGAAATGATTGTGGCATGGCCATCCCCCTGGGGGTGACTTCTCACTTTCTGTCTCTCTGTCTCTCTCTGTCATTCTGGCGAGTGCTTGTGCCCTATAGCAATATATACACATATATATATAAGATCTCTTTTCTTATAAACTGAACTAGTTAGCTCCTGTGTCTAGATATTGTAATATCTTGGTTTGATTACTTCTTATTTTATGTGAGGATGGGCATATAAAGCACATTTATTAACCACTTATATTGTGCCAGATATTGTTACATATGCTCTATATTTGTTCCTAACAACAAACTCTACAAGACAGGTGCTTCTATTTTCATTCCCATTTTAAAGACTAAGTCTAATTCAATTCAGGCCAAGGTAAGTCAAAGGCCAAATTCCTTACCATTATATTATGCTCATGTTATAGTGAACTAGTAACTACAGTAACTAAGTAGTATTTTATTATAATCATTTTGTTATTTAATAAGAACACTTTTTTATTTTTGTAGATGATTTGCCTTACATTTTCAGTAAACAGACTTGGAGATCACTGGTGTTTGTAATAATGTAACTTACTACCAACTAATTGGAACTACAGTGAGAATAGCACTATTTAGATTCTTAAGAGACTGCGTTAAGAAATTAATTTTATGTAATAATCTTATAGCCTCTAAAATCTATGATTCAATGTCATATAAGCAAAAGATGAAACTTATTATTCAGTATAGGCTCTGATTTATCAATATTTTTATATTCTAATATTCAGATGATAGATTATAAACAGAAGTTTTGATATTCTGTAAAGTGCAAGGCATTTTCCTTATGTGTGTGCATGTTTTCTTTTTTCTGGTTTATTTTTACCTGTAATGCTCCAAGGTGGTATGTTTGTAATATGTAATGCATAAAATGGATAGATTTATTTATTATTATGCATGACACAGGTTGACTCCTTCTAAAATAGAATATAAAGTTTGAAGGTTGATATAATTATCACACTGTATTAATGATAGAACATTTAAATTAGATGAATAATTTTACTTACAGAAATAAACCAAAATATTTTTAAAATTGCTTAACTAGATCAATTTTTAAATAACCAGAGGTTTTAATAAAGTAGGGAAAATTCAAGCACTCTAAAATCTTTGAGGACTGGGAAATATATTTAAATTAGACATTAAAATGATCATTTCTATATATATATATACATATATATATGTATATATATACACATATATATATAGAGAGAGATGCACACATATAAACAAAACTGTTTTCTCCCTAAATTAAAGGTAATGATGTGTGTGACAGGTTTACAAATATAAAGTCATCATTAAAAAACAAAATCAACTCTAAAAAAAATAACAACAAATAATAAATAAATCAATAAAAGTCAAACTGTCATCTATCCAATGGAAATAGTTTTCCAAAGCATGGTTTTGGGACAGTATATTATCACCTAAAATTCTGCTGTTCAAAAATAAGTTCCTTTAAAAATTTACTTTACCTACCATGTCTATTATATCAATGTCAAAAGGCCAACTATACTACTTTTACACACAAATTCCACATTTTAAAATTAGCCTAAACATTCTTTAAAACTAAATGATTGAAGGATCCAATATAATTCACAAGGTTGGTGCTGTGAGGGATATTCAATCATGGAACACAATTAAAATAAAAACTGATGCTTTAATTTTAGAAATCATTTAATTGTGTTTTTATCAAAAGAAGACATTTAAAGAAAGAAAAAAAGTAAGTACACAGTGTTGGGTAGTTCTGGTTACTGGCATCCTACCCCCTATCTGTAAAAGAATGCTTGTTGGCATTAGATTCCATCAATTCATTTGTGATTTCTAAATTAATTCTGAAGGAAACCACAACTTACTTGAAGATCCCGCTGAGTGTCTGTGTGCCTCATTTTTTTTTTCTCTTTTCACAGACAAAGCACTTCCACTGGTCATGGAAAAAAGGTCTAAATCCGTGTCTTCTCTGCTTACAAGTCTTGCCTGGGAGCAATGGGAGAGAATGTATACAATCATGAAACAAAATATGGCATTTTCTGAATGCAGCTCACATTACCCCAAATAAACAAACAGCCTCTGTCAAACAACCTTCTTCAAAATGATACCACAATCCTTCATTGCTGCCCAGGCAGAACAAATGCACTATGTCAAAGCACTTTTTGCAAATAAGAGCCGATTTTAAAATTGAGGTTTGCTATTTGAGTCTGTACAACAAAAGAAAACATTTTAGTATAGTAATTTTGGTGAAAACCAATCTTAAGGGCAGTCGATGAAACTTTAAACAGCTTAACATCATTTATTTACCAAGTATATTATTTAATTCTTAATTCGATGTTAGAAATGTCATATTAGATTATTTTCTGCCATGTTTATATTTTAGCACTCATAAGTATTAGCCTTATCAATAAAATTCCCCAAAGTTCCTTTCATCCCATATTTGTGTACTACAAAGTCACAATCTCCATCTTTTCATTACAACTATTATGGTATAAAAACAGTACACATTAAGAATAATTGTGGGGTAATGGTAAATATGGAGAAATTTAGATACTTTATTTTAAGGACATGAGGATTAGATCATTCATTTCATCTAAAATTATTTTTGAAGTTTATTGTATCATAGACTGAACTTATCAGTCAAAAGATGTGCCTCTCACCTATAAAATATTGTTTTACATAATGTCTAATATCATAAGTAAGTGTTTATCAGGATTCAGCTCTGAAGTAGGGGGGAAGATTGCCCTGATTGAGCAAAGCAGCCTCAAAGTAGCTGGGATTTAACCCAAACCACAGTACGCTTGAGATCCTGTGAAAAAGCATTGTCCTTAATGTTTGATGTGAGGAAAATTTGGATACAGCAAAATAAAAACAGAAAACCACCACTGTGGTTAAAAAATTGTCTCCATATGATGGCTTCAAAGACTCAAGGAACCAGAATCTAAAAATCATCCTCTTTCAAATCAATCCCTTTTAGATATTCGCCCTCTCCTTTACAGACCCTTCCCACCTTTTTCTTACTCTCATATACATGAAATTCTATGTATGTAAGAGGAGACATCAAAAAGTTCATAGCAAAATAAAGTTATGAATTCCATTTAATGCAAAATATATAAAAATTTATACATAATTTTTTCAGAATATGCATTTCCATAACCTTTTTTTTTTTCTAGATTTTTGCCATAGGGAATGTGCTCTCACTGATGAGAGACGGAAACAGGGAAAGTAAGAAATCACCCCCAGGGGGGATGGCCATGCCTCAAGCCCTTTTGCTTCATTTCTTCTCAGAATTTTAGGCACACACGCACACACGCCTGGAGTGATCCTCAAGCTATGGGATCCCGGATTTGACTACAGAGTCAGGCATGTGGGCCTGAGTGCGTTAAGCACCATTCCACCTGCTGGATCTTCCATAAACTTTATGAAGACCCCTTCATATATGTATGTTCCTATTTACTTTATACACACACACACACACACACACACACACACACACACACACATATAAATTAAAAATGATATATATATTTATCATGTGCAACCTATTTTGAAATGTGTAGATACTATGGAATGACTAAATTGAGCTAATTAGTCAATGTATCACCTTACATACTTAGGATTTGTAATTAGCAAATGTTGTTATTGCTAAACTCAGAAGAGAAACCATTTTTTTTTAAAGAGAGGTTTTTTTTTTTTTTTTTTGTTTTTTTTTTTTTTTTTTTTTTTTTTTTTTGA